GCTGGTGTTGATTGTCCAGATGATAAGGGTGAACCGATGCACTGCCTTTTTTCGTAAAGCGATGCCTCGGATTCCGGTGGAGTATGTCTTCTTGCCGTTTTACGGGCCCGTTGCGGTAGGGGCGTCGGTTCCTGCCCACTCGTGTACTCAGACACGGTGGGCGTGAGCGCGGCGCTCGTTCCGGGTTCTTGCGGCGAAGAAGGTTTCCTCTTGGGGATCTGGCTGAAGGAGCTGACGATCCTTGATTTCTCCGGGTTCGAAAGGTCCTTTATGCAGAGTGGCCGATCCAATACCCCCGGGCGATCCGGAGGTTTCCTAACACGAGGGGGGGGGGGCTCCCCCTTTCCCCTACCTGTCATGTTACTACTGTTTTGTTTTTTGGTTGGTGTACGCGTGTCTTACGTCTATATACTTTACCTAGCAGGTTGACAGCTGAACGATGCGCGCCGCGAGGTAAAGATGGGAGCGAAGATGATGACGACCGCAACACTTTGGCGCACTGCCTACCCCTTTCACAACGAAAGGGTTGGGGGAAGTGCTAGAGGGCACTCAATTACGCGACTCGACACTACAAGGCACGGAACGCTCTTGAGTGCCAAGAATCTACCTAAGGGCCGGTGACCTCGACGCCTCGCGGAGTATGCGGACTCGACGCTTAGCGGAGTATGTCGTACCGGCGGCTGCTTGGAACCACTGCTAATCCACAAACAGCACACACTTAGGAGATCCTTTTTGGTGGCGACAGTGGTGGTTCATCTCCTTGTGGAGGTTTTCATGTGTCGAGGAGACCCTCTTTACATGGGCGGCATCTCAGGAGGACACGACCCCCCGGTCTTGGGTGCTGCGTTGGCAGCTTATATGTAGGTGTATTGCGCACCTCGCGCCATCACGTCGAGTGTCGGGACGCTCACTCACCCCCGGCGTCCCCTGTGCCGGGCAGTGAGCGTAGAAGTTCACGTGGGAGTGGTCGCCCGTCAGGTGGGCGGGCGTGGAGGGGAGCAAGATTTTGAAGGTGAAGGTGTGGCCCGTTGTCTGCGCGGTCGAACAACCGTCTCGCAGAACGGACCACAAAGTCATGGATGGTTTCGACCTTGAGGTCGCGAGAAATGATGTCATTCCTGACGTAGCGACCGGCTCCCACGATCACCCGGAGCGCAAGATTTTGCTGGGCCTGCAACCTCTTGCGCTGAGTGGCCGAGGTCAACGCGTACCAGGCTGGTGCTGCGTAGGTCAGCCGCGAGCGGATGTAGGTTTTGTAGATACCTATTTTCGTTCTTGTTGGGAGTTTGGATGCCAGTATAGGGTATAGTTTCGCTCGCGCCGCTCTGGCCTGTCTCACAACGTGATTGACCATCGGGGTCATGCGCAGCGAGCGATCTATCTGGCATCCTAGGTACGTAATGGTACTACTCCAACCCACATCCTGCCCGCGGAGTTGCAGAGTTGGTGGTGTTCTGGCCAGCCTGGTCATGAAGGCGACGGTCTTCCCGACATTGACCGCCAGCCTCCATTTGTCCAGCCACTCAGGCAAGAGGTCGAGTACCCGCTGCAATTTCTTAGCAGCTATGTCCACCCGACGTGATGACGCGAAGTACGCACTGTCGTCGGCGTACAAGGCTAGGACAACGTCATCCTCCCATTCCTCCAGATGGCCTTGGAGGGTGGGGATGTCGTTGGTGTAGACCGCGTACAGGTGCGGTGATAGGCAGCTGCCCTGTGGCACTCCCGCAGAAATCGGTCGTGCCGCCGAAACAGCCCCTTCCAAGGAGACATGGAAGCTCCGCCCCTCCAGGAATGACGCTATTAACCGCACAAGCATGGGCGGTAAAGTGGTGTGCTGAATGAGTTTATAAACTAGCCCTGCGTGCCACACCCTGTCGAAGGCCTTCTCCATGTCGAGAAGGACCCCCACACAGATGCGGCCGAAGTTATATTCGGCCGCAAGATAGTGCAGCACGCGGGCCAGCTGAGACGTGGTTGAATGTCCCCTGCGGAAGCCAAATTGCTCCTCCCGCAGGGTAACATGTGGGAGTACCCTATTCAGGGTGATTTTTTCGAAGAGTTTTGCTATGTGCGGTAATAGCGTTATGGGGCGGTAGCTGGCCGGGAACCTCCTGTCTTTTCCCGGCTTCGGCAGCACGATGATTCTGCCCTGCTTCCAGATGGTCGGGAAGTGGCCAGTCCGTAAGATGCCATTGTACAGACTGGTGAGTGCCACTATTACCCTTCTGGGCAGCTGCTTTATGGCTGTGGTGGTGATGCCGTCGTAACCCGGCGCTTTACGGCTAGGTAGGCGCATAATAGTGCGCCTTACCTCTGCTGGAGATATGAAATCGCCGCCTCGCAATGGCGGCGCCGGGTTAGAGAGGTATTCCCGTACGCGGTCCTCTATGCCTTGTACGTGGTCTGCGTACCCCTCTGCTATGCTGTTGGGTATGAACTGTTGTTCTAGGTGCTGTGCCATCAAGTCCGCTCTAGGTTGGGCGTCGTAAATCCTACTCCCCGTGCTGTCCACCAGTGGGCAGACAGGTGGTGGTGTCTTGGTGAGCTGCCGGTTGAGGAGATGCAGGGAGGCGGGTGTCTCCGAGGCTTCGTCGACTCGCCTCTCCCATGCTTCTCCCCTATAAGCTCTCATTGCTTCCGACAGCTCTTCCGTCATAGCGTTTAGTTTAGTTTTTATCCGTGGGCATCGTGTCCGTGCCCAGAGTCTCCTCATCTTCCGCTTCTCGGACAGGAGCGTTTGGAGATTGCGTGGGAGTCCCTCCTTCCCGCGCCCCGTGGAGACAGGGTGAGAGTGGAGTTGGAGTTTATCTTTTATAGTGTTGTGAAGATGTAGGGCCGCAGTCTCCACATCTTCACTGGTGGTAATTGGGGCGCAAGGTTGGAAGTCCTCCAGCGCACTACGAAAGCGGGTCCAATTTGTCTTCATTCGGAGACTTCTGGGCACCATGGCATCCGCACTGGTGTCGATAGTAATCAGCACGGGGAGGTGTTGTGTATCTATGTCATACAACACTTCTAACCGTGTTGCATACGGCACTAGATGACACAGCACAATGTCAAGAACATCGGGCTTATGTTCTGGCTTTGTCGGGATATGGGTGGGCTCATCAGGGCCCAGCACCTCGTACCCCCACTCCTCGGCGTCGTCGAACAGTTTCCTGCCGGGTGGTGTGATCAGCGCGGAGCCCCAAGCGGGATGTTTCGCGTTGAGGTCTCCGGCGATAATTGCAGGTGTCGTGGAGTCAAATATGGTACGTATGTCTTGGGGGGCAAGTGAGGTGCCGGGAGGTCTGTAGGCAGCAAAGATTCTAATTTCTCTGGTGCCTACCCTCAGCCTTACACCCTTGGTTCTGGTGGATATAAACTGTGTATTGGTGCCAACTTCTTCGTGCATGACGTCCCTCCTCACAAGGACCGCAGTACCTCTGTACGCGATACCTTCTGAGGAGATCTCGTCATGTCGGTACACAAAGAAGTTGGGGAGTTTTAATTGAGCAGAGGGGCGCAGTTTGGTCTCCCCCAGTAGCACAATTTGAATATTATGCTGCTGGACCAGGGTTCTCAGGTCGGCGACCTTCCCTAAGATGCCGCCGGGGTTCCAATAACACATCCTAAGTGGATGGCCTGCTGACGGAGGTTAACTGGGCTAAGGCCGTTAGGATGGCCGAAAGGGGGTTGGTGCCGGTGGTCATGGCAGTCAGGACCTCTCCTAAGATCCTGATTACCACGCCCACCAGTTGAGCGAGGGCCTCCTCGATGGTGGTTGGTGCCTGGGGCTGTAATGGGGGAGCGACAGTTATTGTCTTTTTGGGTGGGCGTTGATCTCGGGGTTGGAGTGCAGATTGCTCGTTCTGATTTGATGGAGGGAATGTATACCGCGGTTGTGGCAGTGATTGCTGTTGTTGTGTGGTAGTGACGAGTGGAGGAAGAGGAGTCGAAGTACCACCCACTTGAGCTGGTTGGGTGGTTGCCTTCTTCTTCTTCTTCTTCTTTCCTCTCTTTTTCTTTGGGCGCTCTGTGCGCTCCGTGGCGTTATTCGCCGGTGGTGCTAAAGTCGCCCCGGTCGTAACAAATGTGGTTGGTGCAGGTGTGATTGTTACCTGCCGCTGTTGCGGTTGCGGTTCCTGCCTTTGCAGGTGTTGCTGCTGTGAATATTGCTGCTGTTGGGGTGGGTAGTACTGAGGTTTTTGAGGTGGTGGAGGTTGCCAATGCGGTGCAGGTGGTTGGCTTTGTAGTGGGGGTGGTTGACGTTGCGGTGCTCGTGTTGTTTGCGCGGGGATAGGGGGTTGCATATTAATCCCCCTCTTCCTTGCAATTCGCTGCAACACTGGGCACCGCCTGTCATTCGCCGAGTGATCTTTCCCGCAGTTTGCGCATTTAGGTTGCGCATCCCGCGGTTGTGGGCATGCTGAGGCCAGGTGGTCACCTGCACAGCGTACACATTTGAAGGGTCGGTAGCAGTTGTAGGATGCGTGTCCGAACCCTTGACACCTGTGACACTGCGCAGGGCCAATTCTGCCTGTCCAGCCTTCGATTGTTACTCCCGGCATGTAAAGGAGCTCATCAATTTGGTATAATCTGTTGAGCTCTTCGGGGCTTAGGTGACTCATTTTCACGTGAAACAGGCAGCCAGGCCTGCCTCTTTTTGGTGGAATTGACCGTACAAATGTAACTGGAAAGCCCTTCTCTATGAGGGCCTCCTGTATGTCTTTAGGGTCTGTATCGGCAGGGAGCCCTCTTAACCCCACCTTCGTGGGTTGCTCCTCCTGTGGGGCGTAGCAATACCACACGAAGGTGGCATCCTCCTTGCTTTTATCGATGAGGTAGCGCTGGACCTTCCGATACTCGTCGTCGGACTGGGGCCGAAAACGGACTCCCTTCCCAAACGGGCGAGCATTGGGAGCGTGACCCAAAAGTTGATGTATGATTTTGAAGTGCTTCGCCCAGTTGGGGAAGCACTCCACTATAATAGGAGGGTATTTGGCCTGGTTATTTACTGGCTGTTGTTCTTTCTGTGCAGGTGGTGGTGGAGGTGATGGTGGCGCTGACCTCGCAATTTGCGCATAAGAGTCTGGCGCTGAAGATGGACCAGGTATGGGCTCCTGGTTTACAGGTTGGGAGTCTTGAAGTGGGGCTAGAGTGGCGTAGGACGTATTGTCCCACTCTCTCTCTCCTTCCGGGTCTTCCTCACCGAAATCCTGCATGTCAGCGGTGCAGGCCGGAGAGGTGGTTGGAGACGGTGAGTTAGGCGGTCTGTTATGTCTTACCACAGGTTGTGGGGCTTGTATCTCAGGTGGTGTGGCAGAGGCAGAAGGCGATGCCGAATCAGATAGTGAGTCTGATCCGGCTCTCAGCCTTTTCTCCTCTTGCAGCTGGTCTTGTTCTATCTCAGGAGGTGTACGTCTCCGCGAGGCTAGGCTCCGGCGTGGTAATGGAGCCAGTTCTGCGCTCGGTGAAGACACAGCTTCACCTGCGCCGAGCGCGGCGCCGGGCGCCGGTATACTGCCTATTCGCCTCGGGAGTTGGCTGTAAGGTGGGAGCACTCTAGATCTCTCAGGAGCGAAGAGGTCTCGCTCCATGAGGGGCCTGTCGAGTACTCCCGGACGCCTATCAGGTGGTTTACGGCGTGTTGGGGGAGGTTCCCCCTTGTCCGACATTACTAATTAATTATGCTCAGCCCTTAGCTATCACACACCTTACTCCCCTCAGCGCGTGCAACCACACCGGGTGAGACCCGTGAGGGAGGCCCAGCGAGGCGCCCGCGAGCAGGGAGGGGTGTGTGAGGCGCAGATGGGATGGGCGTAATCTCACTCAAATGCGGAACACTTGCAATCACTTTTTGTTATAAAAAGAGGGTACAGTGTACAAAAAGGTAAAACGTAAAGTAGGGCACAGCGTAAGTAGTGACCTTTACGCTTACCTTATTAACAGTCCGACGCAGGAAATGCGCCAGCGACGCCTCGACGCCAAACGGAGCGAACTCGACGTCGGCGGAGTCAATCACTAGCACAACACGTACACAACACAGGAGCGCACTAGACACGTCCGCACTGTAGCACGGCCCGCGACGAACTGGTGGCGACAGTGGTGGTTCATCTCCTTGTGGAGGTTTTCATGTGTCGAGGAGACCCTCTTTACATGGGCGGCATCTCAGGAGGACACGACCCCCCGGTCCTGGGTGCTGCGTTGGCAGCTTATATGTAGGTGTATTGCGCACCTCGCGCCATCAAGTCGAGTGTCGGGGACGCTCACTCACCCCCGGCGTCCCCTGTGCCGGGCAGTGAGCGTAGAAGTTCACGTGGGAGTGGTCGCCCGTCAGGTGGGCGGGCGTGGTGGGGAGCAAGATTTTGAAGGTGTAGGTGTGGCCCGTTGTCTGCGCGGTCGAACAACCGTCTCGCAGAACGGACCACAAAATCATGAATGGTTTCGACCTTGAGGTCGCGAGAAATGATGTCATTCCTGACGTAGCGACCGGCTCCCACGATCACCCGGAGCGCAAGATTTTGCTGGGCCTGCAACCTCTTGCGCTGAGTGGCCGAGGTCAACGCGTACCAGGCTGGTGCTGCGTAGGTCAGCCGCGAGCGGATGTAGGTTTTGTAGATACCTATTTTCGTTCTTGTTGGGAGTTTGGATGCCAGTATAGGGTATAGTTTCGCTCGCGCAGCTCTGGCCTGTCTCACAACGTGATTGACCATCGGGGTCATGCGCAGCGAGCGATCTATCTGGCATCCTAGGTACGTAATGGTACTACTCCAACCCACATCCTGCCCGCGGAGTTGCAGAGTTGGTGGTGTTCTGGCCAGCCTGGTCATGAAGGCGACGGTCTTCCCGACATTGACCGCCAGCCTCCATTTGTCCAGCCACTCAGGCATGAGGTCGAGTACCCGCTGCAATCTCTTAGCAGCTATGTCCACCCGACGTGATGACGCGAAGTACGCACTGTCGTCGGCGTACAAGGCTAGGACAACGTCATCCTCCCATTCCTCCAGATGGCCTTGGAGGGTGGGGATGTCGTTGGTGTAGACCGCGTACAGGTGCGGTGATAGGCAGCTGCCCTGTGGCACTCCCGCAGAAATCGGTCGTGCCGCCGAAACAGCCCCTTCCAAGGAGACATGGAAGCTCCGCCCCTCCAGGAATGACGCTATTAGCCGCACAAGCATTGGCGGCAAGGTGGTACTGTGTATGAGTTTATATACTAGCCCTGCGTGCCACACCCTGTCGAAGGCCTTCTCCATGTCGAGAAGGACCCCCACACAGATGCGGCCGAAGTTATATTCGGCCGCAAGATAGTGCAGCACGCGGGCCAGCTGAGACGTGGTTGAATGTCCCCTGCGGAAGCCAAATTGCTCCTCCCGCAGGGTAACATGTGGGAGTACCCTGTTCAGGGTGATTTTCTCGAAGAGTTTTGCTATGTGCGGCAATAGCGTTATGGGGCGGTAGCTGGCCGGGAACCTCCTGTCTTTTCCCGGCTTCGGCAGCACGATGATTCTGCCCTGCTTCCATATGGTCGGGAAGTGGCCAGTCCTCAGGATGCCATTATACAGCCTGGTGAGTGCCACTATTACCCTTCTAGGCAGCTGCTTTATTGCAGTGGTGGTTATGCCGTCGTAACCCGGCGCTTTACGGCTAGGTAGGCGCATAATAGTGCGCCTTACCTCTGCTGGAGATATGAAATCGCCGCCTCGCAATGGCGGCGCCGGGTTAGAGAGGTATTCCCGTACGCGGTCCTCTATGCCTTGTACGTGGTCTGCGTACCCCTCTGCTATGCTGTTGGGTATAAACTGTTGCTCTAGGTGCTGTGCCATCAACTCCGCTCTAGGTTGGGCGTCGTAAATCCTACTCCCCGTGCTGTCCACCAGTGGGCAGACAGGTGGTGGTGTCTTGGAGAGCTGCCGGTTGAGGAGATGCAGGGAGGCGGGTGTCTCCGAGGCTTCGTCGACTCGCCTCTCCCATGCTTCTCCCCTGTATGCTCTCATTGCTTCCGACAGCTCTTCCGTTAGAGAGTTAAGTTTAGTTTTAAGCCGTGGGCATCGTGTCCGTGCCCAGAGCCTCCTCAGTTTCCGTTTTTCGGATAGTTGAATTTGCAGTTTGCGTGGGAGTTCCTCCTTTCCGCGCCCCGTGGAGACAGGGTGGGAATGAAGTTGTAGTTGGTCTTTAATGGTATTATGAATGGGTAATACACAGGTGGCGACACTACTACGTTGTCGTCTGCTGCGGTGTGTGTACTACACCCAGCAGGTCTCGGGCCTCGGGGCATCTCCCCCATTACCCGGGTAGTCCTCACGGCCCATTTCTATGGGCCGGTCATTGGGAGCCGGTAATCCGGCATTGTTGGTTGTCTTAGTTTTTTGTTTATTATTTTAGCTAGGTCGGGTAAGTCGCCGTATAGGCGGCTGCATCGACCTAGGCATCAAAGTTGGCCTGTCAGTGGCATTGCGGGCTTTACTCGACTCTCTAATCTCTAGTAGAGAGGAGTTCTCTTGGTAGAGGTCGCCCGTCCGGGGGGCGAGTGTGTAGCGGCGCAAAGTTGTTAAGGTGTGGATGTGGCCCGTTGTCTGCGCGGTCGAACATACCGCGCGTCAACCGGACCACAAACTCTTCGATTGTCTCCATTTTCAGGTTGGCCGCTATGACGTCATTCCGGACGTAGCGACCTGCACCGACAATGGTCCTTAGTGATTGATTCTGCTGGACCTGCAACCGCTGCCTCTGTCTGCTGCTCAAGAGCGCGTACCAGGCCGGAGCGGCGTATGTTAGCCTCGGACGAATATACGTCTTATATAGAGTGATCTTAGTTTTCATCGGCAGCTTGGATGCCAGGACTGGACGGAGCATCGCCCGCGCACATCTGGCATTGCGGACGACGATGTCGACGTGCGCAGTCATGCGCAACATCCTGTCGATCCGGCATCCAAGGTAGGTTACGGCCTTCTGATACGCGATCTCTTGGCCTCTTAGCTTCAATGGTGATGGTAGTTTTCTGTAACGGCGGGTGAGTAGAGCGGCCGTCTTTCCCACGTTGACAGCCATCCTCCACTCATCCAGCCATGGTGGCAGCAGGTCCAGCAGGCGCTGCATCTTGGCAACCGCGATGTGGGCTCTTCTGGACGACGTGAAGTAGGCACTATCGTCCGCGTATAGCGCCAGCTCTACGTCGTCCTCCCATTCCTGCAGTTGTCCAGCCAGCGTCGGTATATCATTGGTATATGCCGCGTACAGGATCGGTGAGAGACAGCTGCCCTGCGGTACGCCGGCTCTAATTGGCTTGACTGCGGACTCGGCATCCTCTACGCAGACGTAGAATCTTCTGTCAGCTAGAAATGACGCCACTAGCCGCAGCATAGCAGGAGGGACACTCGTTTGTTGATTCATCTTGTAGAGTAGTCCAGAGTGCCACACCCTGTCGAACGCCTTCTCTATGTCCAAGAAGACGCCCACAGACGTTCTCTCATAATTGTGCTCCGTCGATAATAGGTGCAGCACTCTGGTCAGCTGTGTAGCTGTAGAGTGTCCGCTCCGAAATCCGTGTTGTTCCGCCCGCAGTTGTATGCACGGGCGGACTCTTCTTAAAACGATGCGCTCGAACAGTTTGGCTATGTGCGGTAGCAGCGTAATCGGCCTGTAGCTAGCTGCTCTACGCCTGTCCTTCCCGGGTTTTGGCAAGACGATGATTTTGCCGATTTTCCAGCTCTCCGGGAAGTGGGAAGTCCGCAGAATGCCATTGTAGAGTTTTCCTAACTCTACTGTGGTTCTGTTTGGCAGCTGTCTGAGTGCTGCGTTCGTGATCCGGTCGTGCCCCGGCGCCTTCCTCACTTGCAGGCGGTTAATCGTCCTCCGCAATTCTGTGGGAGAAATAAACCATTCTCCTGCAAGCGTTGGCGAGGGCGACGACAGGAACTCCTGTACGCGGCTCTCCTTTTGGGTATGAAGTTCCATGAACTCCGCACTTGCTGGATTCGGCATAAACTGCTCCTCGAAGTGCTCAGCTAGGATATCCGCTCTTTCCTTGGCCTCATAGCATCTCTCTCCAGTACTACTTAATAGTGCGCATACAGGTGATCTTGTTTTTGTCAGCTGCCGGTTCAATTTGTAGAGCGACGCATCTTCCTCCTCTGCTTTCCATATGCGCCGCTCCCAGGCCTCTCCTCTGTGGGCCTGGATTGCAACCGACAGCTCTTCTGCTAAGGTGTTGAGTTGCGACTTGATTCTTGGACAGCGCGTACGCGCCCAAAGCCTCCTTAGTGCTCTCTTTTTCCTCAGCTGAATTTGTATTTTTTGTGGCAGCTCTTCTTTCTTTTTGGTAAGTGGGACGATCGTAGAGGCTGCGTTGAGAGCTTCTGTGATCGTCTTAGTAATTCTGGTTGCAGCGGCCTCTACGTCGTCCGCTGTGTTGATCGGTGTTGTTACTGGAGGTCTCTCCAGTAGATGTTGTTGGTAGAGCCTCCAGTTGATCTTAGTCTTGAAGGCTCTGGGAGGCGACGTCACTGCCCTGAGGCCTAAGGTGATTAATAGCGGGAGGTGCTGTGTGTCCGCGTCGTACAGCACCTCTACCACTATCGGGCAGTTGATGTTCCTAGTGAGCACGATGTCCAGCACATCCGGACTCTTCCGGTGATCGGCTGGAATATGCGTCGGCTCTTCGGGACCTAATACGTCG